GCCACACTGGGTCAACTGGCCGATCGGGCCCGAGACCTCGGATTTCCAGTATCAGGGCCGCGGCGAGATTACCCGGGCTGTGCTCGCTGGCCGCTGGCCAAGTTGGGCCGACAAGCTCGAGCAGGGCGCGCGCCGTCCGCAGGGTGAGAAGGGCGCGCGGGCGACCTGCGCGCGCTCGATCCCCCTCTAGAGGCCGCCGCCTTCCCCAGCAGGACTTGGGGTGGCCGACCAGGCGCCCCGCGAGCGCTAGGAGGGAGATGGGCGCCGTTACCCACCATGCCAGCACCGCAGACACAACTGTTTTCAGGCGTCAGCATTTCTTTCCAAGAGAGCGCTGCCAGGAGTCGAGGCCGCCCTCCGCCTCCTCGCGAGCAGGGAGCGCGCCGTCCGCCTAGGGCCCCTTTGGGGCCACTACAGCTGGGCCATTCGCAAGTCCGAGCCGGGCTCGAACGACGATGACGTGAAGTGCTCGCTGCTGGGTAACTCGTTCGGTTCCGGCGGTTGCCTTCCTCGTGGGAAGAGGTCTGGTAGCCGCGGGGATTCTGCGAGATTCGCCAACTGTCGCCGAGTGCTGGGGCGCCCCTGGGGGGGAATGGAATCTGCGCCTGGAAATGCTGGGCGCGCCCGCCGACGAAACGACCCCCGATCAAGTGCACCGCGCCCTGCGCGAGTCACTTGTGCGGAACGCCATCTTCAAGGGCAGCGATGCGCCTGCCGCAACGGGCGGCCTGCTTCATCCTTCGGGCTGGCCGAGGAGGGGCATCGGGGCGGATCGGTGGCCGTGGAAGACCTCCCTTGGGTCCAGGCAGAGTGGCTCGCACATTAATGTCTTGGAGCTGCAAGCCCTCTTGACTGCCGTCTACTGGTGGATGGGGGCCGCGCCAACGTTGGCGCGAGATTCGTTCACTTTTGCGGCCCTCAGGTGTCCACCGCTGCTGCCTGCAAGGGCAGGTCGCAATCAAAGAAGCTTCGCTCGATCCTCATGCGCTTGAACGCGCTCCTGCTTGCCGCGCCCAGTCAGCCATATTGGGCACATGTAAGGTCGGAGCTCAATCCAGCCGACGCCCCGAGCAGATGGCGGCAGCCATCGTGCGCAGCGGCGGGACGAGGCAGCAGAGAGGAAAGGATCGAAGAGAAGCTGGGGCCCTGAGAACGTTGCAGCTCCAAGCGCACTGTCTAGCGGTACTTGGAGTCCGCGTGCGCCTTTTTCTCAGTGGGTCCTGCGCCTTGGAGCCTCTGCCAGTCCCCATTCCGGCCGCCGACGAAATTCTAGGATCATGCCTTGAAGGTTGTTGGGCGGTTGGAGAGCCAAAGTCCCTGGTGGGAGGCGCTCTTTCAGGGCTCCAACATGTTGTGCCAAGCCTGCGCAGGGGTTTCAATGATTCATGGGGACTGTTCGGCGCCTGGTCCAGGGCCGAACTGCTCTCGCGCGCGCGGCCGCGATTGCATGATCAGACCCTGGCGATGGCAGGCTTTGCTCTCTCTGGGGGGGGGGGGGGGGGGCAAGGCGATGGCGGCAGGGGCGTTGCTGTGCTTCAACGCGCTCCTGCGCCCGGCGGAGGCCATGCTGGCGACCGGGCAATGCACTTTTGATTTGGACCGTGGCGTCGCGCACCTTGACCACGGGTGCACTAGGGGAGATGAGATACCAGGCACGGCCTAGCATGTCGTCGCATGCGAGCTCAAGGCTGTTGCGCTCCTTGCTGAGCCATTGCATGGACGCCCTGCTGGTGCCCAGCTTCTCCCCCGCGGGACCGGCGGCTTTCGCCGCGCCTCCAGGAAGCTGGTAACCCGCATTGGTGCTGACCCCGACAGGTGCAAGCCGCGTCCCCTTCGCCGGGGAGGGGCCGCCACTTCAAAGTCCTGGGGGGTCTTTCAAAGACATTATTCGCGGCCGCTGGAGGCGCCAGCCCACGGGTCGCATATGCATGCAGGACGGCGCGGCCATGCTGGAGCGCCACGTCCTCAGCGCAAAGGGGCGGAGGTTGACGGCGAAGGGTAAGTCTGTGCTACGCCGCCGTTTCTGATGCCCGAGCCATCGGCCCTCGGGCGCCCATCAGATTCGCCAGTTCAGCGGCGCGTGGGTTTCGCGCGCACTGAGAAGCAGCGGCCGACCTCGCTCGCCATGAAGGGCAGACTAGCTCTAGGGAGCCCTGCCCCAGGCAGACCCATCCGCTTCCTGCGCCCAAGGTGGCGCCCCCGACTGGTGTCGGAGGGAGGCGAGGGCGGTTCGCCTGGGGGCATTCTTGCGCCCGAGTTCTGAGAGGCCCACCGCGGCGCCGCCAAGGCGCTGGCTGCCGCGCGGCCTTGTCAAAGTCGCGCAGCTCGCCTCTCTCAGGAGCGAGGAGCGGAGGGGATGAGCACTAGTCCATCACCTGCGAGTGCTAGCGCGACCTCCATCCTCGACCCTTGCCACTGCAGTTGTTCAGGCCACCGACCCCGCCCAGCAACGCAAACTCCCCAATATGCTTCAACCTGTCTGCATAGCTCTCGCCCCCGCAGAGGGGGGACAGACGAAGGGCGCGCGCCTGAGAAGCAGCGGCCAGCCTCGCTCTAGGGCGCCCAGCCCGAAGCAGATCCATCCGCTTGCTGCGCCTAAGGCGGTGCCCCCGACTGGTGTCGGAGGGGGGCGAGGGCGGTTCGCCCGGGAGCATTCTTGCGCTCGAGTTCGGAGGAGCCCGCCGCAGCATCGCCATGGTGCTGGTTGCCGCGCGGCCTCGTAAACGTCGCTCGACTTGCCTCTCTCAGGAGCGAGGAGAGGAGGGGGTGAGCACTACTAGTATTACTACTACTACTACTACTACTACTACTACTACTACTACTACTACTACTACTACTACTACTACTACTACTACTACTACTACTACTACTACTACTACTACTACTACGACTACTACTACTACTACTACTACTACTACTACTACTACTACTACTACTACTACTACTACTACTACTACTACTACTACACTACTACTACTACTACTACTACTACTACTACTACTACTACTACTACTACTACTACTACTACCACTACTACTACTACTATTACTACTACTACTACCTACTACTACTACTACTACTACTACTACTAGTAATACTACTACACTACTTACTACCTACTCTGCACTACTACTACTACTACTACTACTACTACTACTACTACGACTACTACGACTATACGACTACTACTACTACTACTACTTACTACTACTACTACTACTACTAACTACTACTACTGTTACTACTATAACTACTACTACTACTTTTACTTTTTTTACTACTACTACTACTACTACTATACGACTACTACTACTACTACTACTACTACTACTACTCCTACTACTACTACTACTACTACTACTACTACTACTCATACTAGTATTATTACTACTACTACTACTACTACTAGTACTACTACTACTACTACTACTACTACGGCGACGACGACGACTACTACTAATACTACTACTACTACGACTACTACTACGACTATGACGACTACTACTACTACTACTACTACGACTACTACTACTACTACTACTACTACTACTACTACGTTTACTACTGCGACTTCTGCTGCTACTACTTCACTACTACCACCACTACCACTACACGACCACCACACTACTACTACTACTACTACTACTACTGCTACTACTACTAACTACTACTTACTACTGCTGCTGATTGCACTACTACACTACTACTACTACTACTACCCACTACTCTACTATTACTACTACTACTACTACTACTACTATACTACTACTACTTCTACTACTACTACTACTATTACTACTACTACTAACTACTACTACTACTACTACTACTACTACTACTACTACTACTACTACGACTACTACTACTACGACTACTACTACTACTACTACGACTACTACTACTACTACTACTACTACTACTACTACTACTACTACTACTACTACTGCTACTACTACTACTACTACTACTACTACTACTACTACTACTACTACTACTACTACTACTACTACTACTACTACTACTACTACTACTACTACTACTACTACTACTACTACTACTACTACTACTACTACTACTACTACTACTACTACTACTACTACTACTACTACTACTACTACTACTACTACTACTACTACTACTACTACTACTACTACTACTACTACTGTCCATTGTCGTGGCATCCACAAGCATAGTGGTATCCCGCGCACACGCGGGATCGCGCCCCGGAGTCCAAGCCGCGAGGGTGCGGATGAGGATATGTTCCAGGGGAACGGAAACTTGCATAAACATAGTAAGTCGGAGGTCCGCGCGGATGTCTCGGATCCGCGTTGGGGCCTCTCTGGCGGCGCCTCTGGCGCCGCCCCTGGCGCGCTCCGCGCGCCAGGGAGGGGGGTTCAGCGCGGATGCAAGAACTCCGCGCGGACCTCAGAGCTGTTATATTCATGACATGTTTTGTTCCCTATGTTCTCTGCTCGTGAGCAACGGTGCGGTCCACCCCTCGAAGAAGAAGAATAATCACAAAATTGCATAGACGGAAACTGTCGGAGCTCCGCGCGGAATTGTCGGATCGGCGCCCGAACCCCTTTGCGGGGCATTCGGCGCAGTCCCTGGCCAGGGAAGGGGGTTCAACGCAAATCCAAGACATCCACGCGGAGCTCTGGGAGTTTATGTGTATGCAGTTGTTTCCTCCTCTCCTCTGGTCGCTCTGTTCCCCCTCCGCCAGAGTGAAGGAGGAGGAGGACAATCTGATGACCCTGAGATCCGACGTTTCAAAACAGATAGCAACATCGCAACAAAAATCACGACCAGAGCCCCAGACCCTGTCTTCCTGCGCCATTTTTCGAGCCAGATCGATCTGTGAGTGTCCCAGGGCCCGAAACCTGATGAAAACGCATGGCTTGAAAAATTGAGACGCCAGGATCTCACCAGAGGGTAATCAGAGGAGGAGGGGTGATGGACGAGGAGGAAGGTGGGCCCGTACGATTGTTCGCTTCCTGGAGGAGGGACACACAGCGAGCAGCCCTGAGCCACTCAGCCCGCAGCAGGCGTGCAAGATATGGTGCTGCGGTTTGGAGAGAGAGAGAGAGAGAGAGTGGAGCAAATTGCACAAACATAAACTTTCGGAGCTCCGCGCGGATTCCTTGGATCGGCGCCAGACCTCTCTCCCAGGCGCGCGGAGCGCGCCCACCTTTGCCGGAAGCGCCGCCAGGGGATCCCAGCGCCGATCCAAGAAATCCGCACGGAGCTACGAGGGTTTTATGTTTATGCTTCTTTCTGTTCCCCCAAGGGCCCCCGGGGGTTCTCGTCGTGGTCCGGCTCCCAGGACTTTCCCGTGTGTCTAGGGGCCGCCAAGAAGCCGCCAGGGATCAAAAACCAGCGCCGGGGAATGTGGTCGAAGCCCTAGTGGCCCACGTTGCAAATATTTGATTGCAGCGTCGGGGGAGGGGCACCGCCGTGCTTTGTTGGGCAGGGCCATCCTGGTCCCTGGCATGATGCGCAGTCAAACCGCACAGTAGGGATGACCGATCTTCCAAGGTTGCCCTGCACTCTTCCCCTTCGGCCCATCCTTTGCCACTCTCGCTGGCCGCGCCCAGCTCGCAAAGTATCGACATGGCCTTCCAAGGCCCTTGCATCCTTATCTACGGGTTGACTGTGCGGACTCCCTGGCCCGTCTGAAGCCGTCGGAAGCCTTCTTGGTAGCCTCTCTGGGCCGCCTTGGGGTCCTCGTGGGTCGCTTTGGCCACCTTGTGCGTCTTGGCGGCCTCTTTGGCCGTCTTTGGGCCCTCTGGGGGCCGTCTTAGGAGCCTCTTGGGCCGTCCTGGGGCCCTCGTGCGTCCTTATCAGACGGGTTGACTATGCTCGGCCTCCTGGCCGAGGCCAGGAGGGTCTGCACACTAACCTTGGGCCCGGGACGGCCCCGGGCGGGCCCAGTGGTCGGCAAAAGACAGCTCGGGACGAGAGACTGGCCCTGGGGCAGGCCACGGTGCCCAGGATCCTGTCCCCTCAAGACCCTCAGAGGAGGAATAGGTACCCCTACCCCGACATCTAACCTTCCCCCGTATTCCCCCTTTTTGGGCCTCCTGCGAGGCCCTCGTCGCCACCGCTGGACTCGCTCCGAAACCCTGGCTAGAACGCACTCCGGGAGAGGTCCGGAGAGTAGCGCTATCGGTAGCTTTTGGTTTCCCCAGACCCCGCCCCGCCATGCCCAGGTGCAGATTCCATCCGATTGGTTGGGACGTCAAGTGCAAGTGGAACGATCTGATTGGCTGGCGCTACATCCGCCAGCCCCCTACCTTTGAAGGTTCTGTTAGCACTGCCAGTCGCCAGCGAGTTCGCATGTTGAGATGTAAGAAAGAGCGCGTGCTGCAGGCGCTTGGAGGGGGGGGTTGGAACCTGCCCCCTCCCCCCCCTGGATTCAAGGGGGGGGGATTCGAACCCCCCACCCCCCACCCATCCCTGGGCCGGCGCCGGCGCCTGCGGCGGCGGGGAGCGGCGACGAGGAGGGGGAGGAGGAGGAGGAGGAGGAGGAGGAGGACGACGACGATGATTACGACGACGAAGACGACGACAACAGCGACGACGACGACGACGACGACGACGACGACGACGACGACGGCAGCGGCGGCGGCGGCGGCGGCGACGACGACGACGACGAAAACCAACGACGACGGCGTCGACGACGACGAGCGATCTTGGGGTCGTCGCTAGGAGCATGTTGGAAGTCATCTTGAGCGATCTTGGAGTGTCCAGGGCAACCTTCAAGGCCACCTTGGGCTCTCCGAGGCCCTCTTGGAGCCATCTGGGGCCATTTCGGACGCTTTAATTACCCACGTAACCCCCCGTCCAGGTCCTCGGGGAAAGGAGTAGATGGAGAGGCACACCCCTCCACGAAGAGGACGAGAGAGGGGATGGAAGATAAAAAACCCGAGACCACCTACGCTCAGAGGGCTGGTGGTATTCCTGGGTTGACTGACTTTGTCGGCCGAGGGCGGAGGTGCAGGGTCGTCGTTGTCGTCGTCGTCGTCGTCGCCGTCGTCATCGTCGCCGCCGTCGTCGTTGTCGTTGTCGTCGTTGTCATTGTCGTCGGCGTCGTCGTCGTCTGTTGTCGTCGTCGTCCGTTGTCGTCGTGGTCGTCCGTCTCCGTTGCTGTCGTCGTCTTCGTCGTTGTCGTCGTCGCCTCCGCCGCCGCCGCCGCCGCCGCCGCCGCCGTCGTCGTCGTCGTCGTCGTCGTCGTCGTCGTCGTCGTCGTCATCACCTTTGTCGCTCGTGTCGTCGTCGTCTCTTTCGTCGTTGTCGTCGTCGTCTTCGTCGTCGTCGTCGTCGTCGTCTTCGACCGCGCTGGGGCCACGTGCCGAGTAGATTTCGGTGGTCGCCTCCGCTGCGCTGCCACGTACAACATGATACAGTACGTTCTGTTTCGTTGTGCGGTTTGACCACGTGGCGCGCAAAGTAGTATTGTATATTGTTAGCGGGCCTGTCTTTGCCCCTTTGTGATTGGAGTGGCGGTGCGTTTTTTCCCGTCCCGCGGCGTGGCCACGTTGCGAATAGGATCGGTTGCTTGCTTTCGGCTCCCAGGTGGTGCCACATGGAGAGTAACTAGTGTGGGATTGCATTCGTTCGGCCCGCGCGGCACTGCCACGTGATGAGTTCAGTTGATTCATTGTTCTTGTCCGACCCCTATGTATGTTCTTGCCACGTGGCGAGTGGGGTGGGGCAGTGCTTTTTCCTCTCGGGCCTTGCCACGGGGCGCTGCCGCGTGGCGAGTAGAGAGCAGCATGTGTTGCCGCCCCGCTCCGTTGCCAGGTGCCGAGCAGAGTGGAGTAATTCGGTTTCGCCCAGCAGGCGCTGCCGCGTGGCGAGCACAGCTTGGCATCGCTCGGACGTGTGCGGTTCTTCCTCGGCGAGGACCATCGAGGAGCATCCTTGATCATTTTGCGAAAAAACACGCGCGAAACCGAAAGAAACACAGGGAATGGACGTCCGAGCGATGGCCAGACAGTGCAGTAGTAGGTGCTCCCCCTCCGCGTGTTAAGCCACGTGGCGAGGAGAGTGGAGCAGCATTTGTTTCGCTTCCTCGACGGTGCCACGTGGCGAGTAGAGCGAAACACTACGCGTTCTGTCTTGCAGGCGTTGCCACGTGGCGAGTCGTGGAGTGGAGTAGTTTGTGGAGTAGCATGTGTTCCTTGGTCGAGAATTCAACCCGGGAGTTCGCTCCAAACCTGGAAGTTGTCGAGTCGACACCCGGCTCGGAGCGGATTCGCGAAGCCCGAAATTCCTACTGAAACCCAGATTTTTGTTCGAAGCCCGGAAATCTGGTTCGGAGCGAAACCTGGAATGTCTGCAGGCGCGGAAGAATGGAATCCTCAGGAATGGAATGTGGGATGAGAGAGAGAGAGAGAGATTCGGATTCCTCGTTGAGTCTGGGAGGACGAGGCCAGAATGTTTGGGAATTTTCGGAGCAGCACCAAATATTGTTGTGACGGTGATTAGGTGGATAGGGGCGATGATGAAAGTCGAGGAGGAGGAGGCAGGCCATGGGGAATTATACAATCGTGCCTCCGGCGTTTTCGCTGAGTAATATTCCTCCTTGATATGTTTCTCATCTCTCTTCTAGATTTTCTTATTGTCATAACGTTTATCTGGTTTGCTTTCCATTCGTGGTGCGTTACCGGTTTCTTCAACACTGCGCTTCTTGTTGCAATTGGGTTATGTTGTTGTTGCCTTCTCCCTTCTCTTGGCTCCCTGTCTTCATATTGTTTTCATTTCCTCTTTCTGCTTTCCCGGGTCTTTCGAGTTCCCAAAAATTCAGTCCTCTTTCTTTTCTCGTCCGCTCTTGACATTCCGTCTGCCCTTTCCTGGCTGGTCTTGGTTATTTGTCGGTTGTCTTTCGGCTGCTGTGGTCGCGCCTGGCCCTCGGCTGGCCCTCGGTCGCTCGGTCTCTGGTCTGCCCCTTCCTGGCTGGTTTTGGCTGTTTTTCGTCTGTCCGTCGGTTGCCCGTCGGTTGCCGCGGTCGCGCCTGGCACTCGACTGGCCCTCGGTCGCTCGGTCTCTTCCCAAAGACTCCGTCCTCTTTCTTTTCTCGTCCGCTCTTGACGTTCCGTCGTGGACCCGCGCGTCTCCTGCGCCGCGCGCGTCCTGGGACCCCGCGGGCTCGCGCGGCTGGGCGCGCGCTCCACGCCCCCGTCCGCCCGCGGCTGCCGCGCGTGGAGCCTTGGCGCTCCATTGGCGTTCGCTGCCGCTTCTGGGGGTGCTGAGCCGCGCCCGCGAGGCGCGGCGCGATGGCGTCCGCGCGCGCTGTGCGGCAGCGGTGGGGGCGGCGGGAGGTTTTTGTTGGCTGGTTTCTGATTCTCGGTCTCTGGGATTTTCCAGTGGGGCCCAGGGTTTCCCCATCATTCATTCGGGATGACAAGCCTCGTGCTCGCGACGGGTTGCGGACGTCGGTGGGGCTTTTTTTGCGTCACAACTCTTGAGGTGTAAAGTCTGAGGGGGGGTCCGCCTTCCTCAGAGGGTGGCGAGGGGCGGCGACGATGGCAGGGGGCATTCTCCGTACCTCTCCTCTCGCGCTTTCCTCTCTTTCTTCTGCCAGTTCGTCGGGGGTCGGGGATTCCGGGATGGGGAAGGGCGGGGGCGGCGGTCGCCAGTTCTCGGGGGTCTTCGTCGCCTTTGTTTATTGCGTGTTGTGGTCGTTGCAAGCGTCCGCACTCGGAGACGGGCGCTTCCTCCCTGAAACTGAAATCTCGGAGGGGTGTTGGCTTCCAACTCGAGGCACGGGCAGTCAAACTTAGGGCGGCGTGCGTCGTCGCCGTCGTCGTCTATGATGTTTCGTGCTCCCTCGTTCGCCAGTCGTCCGTTGTTGTTGTCGCTTTCGTTGTCGTCGTGGTAGGGTGTCGTCGTCGCGTTCGTTGTCGTCCTCGATGTCGCCGTTGGCGGTCGGGTATCCCGGGATGGGGGAGGGCGGAGGCGTCGGTTGCCAGTTGACGGTGGTCCTCGTCGTCCATGTTGTGGTGGTCGTCAGCGTCCGTACTCGGAAACGGCGCTCCCGCTCGAAAATTGAATTCCCGGAGTGGTCTTGACTTCCAGGTCGCACGCTAACTCAGGACGGCGTGCGTCGTCGCCGTCGTCGTTGATGATGTTTCGTCCTCCGTCGATCATCAGTATTCCGTTGTTGTTGTCGCCTTCGTTGTCGTCGTGGTCGGGTGTCCTCGTCAAGTGTGTTGTCGTCTTCGATGTCAGTATTGTTGTCGAAGTCGTAGTAAGCGCTCGTGCCCGCGGTCGGGTGCGTCGGCCCCAACAAGTGGAACGCTGGTTTTGCTTTGGTTTTCAACTCGAGGGATGGGCACTTAACATTACGCCGACTTGTGGGGTCGTCGCTGTTGATGGCTGTCAGCATTCAGTCGGTCGCAAGCCGTTCGCAGTCGTTGTCCTTGCTGTTTTCGTTGTTGTTGTCGTCGGTGTCTTCGTTCATGGGCGTCCTCGTCGTTGTGGTCGTGGTCGTTGTCGTCATCAGCGTCCGTTCTCGCGGACGAGCTTCTGCCCTGGAGTTGAAATCTCGAGTTGGTTTCGGCGTCTACGCAAAGGCATGTCGATGTTCAAATTAGGGCGGCTTGCGTCTGCGTCGTTGTCGACGGTCGTTCGGTCTCCGCCGGTCGCCAGTCATTAGTTGTTGGTGTCGCCTGCGTTGTCGTAGTCATTGTCGTTCTCGTCGTCCTTGTCGTCTCGCCATCGCCGCCGCGGTCGTCGCCGTCTGCGTTTGTTTTCGTGGGAGGGTGCGCTCGGATTAATCTCGAAGCTCGGAGTGATTATGGTCCCGCGCTGCGATGTTTGCAGTGTTCAGCGTGTGCACGCTGTGCAATCCAATGTTTTGCCTTGCCTCGCATTGTTGCTCAATTCTTTGTTTCGCGTCGTAAATGCCCGCAGCGGTTTTACTTCCACTACATTTGATGGTCGGGCTTCCTTTGGACTTCATGGTGGCGCTCGCAGAACCCAGCTTGCACCGCGTTAGTTCCATCATCCAACGTGGTTCAAAACAGTGTTTCGGGTCCACGCTGGCAAGCGTATCGTTATCGGAGGTGAGGGGGTGAGATCGAAGTGGAACGGAGAGCCCCCCTACCGGGAAATCGGTTTCGGTTTCGTGTTCGTGCGTGCCGTGCGTGCGGGCGAGGCGAAGCTGCGTGGGCGGGCGAGAAGAAAGTCTCCTCCGGCTGCGAAAAAGAACAGATTACACACATGCCTGGAAGCTGGGCGCACGTGACGCGGTCTGCCTGGCCGAGGGCTGCATACTTGGCTCCAACAAAAGTTTCCCTGGAAACTTGCAAGAGGAATACTATGTATGTAAACCCGTCGGCAAGATGAACAGTCGCGCGCGCGTGCTCAGCGTTCGCACGCACGCGATCCCAAGACGCCCCATGGCCACAACAGGCTTCCAGGAATGCCTCAGGCCACGGACGATAACGTCCAGAGGACCCAGGATGATGCCACCCCAACGCGATCCCGCCATGGATTCTGGACCGTCTCAGGCCGACTCGCAGATGACGAAACACATGAGCAACGCGTGACGCCGAGATGGCCCGATGGCAACATGATGGATCCAAGCGCACCCAGGGTGGCCTCATAATGACCACGCGATGGTTGCGTGATCCAAACATGACCGGGATATGATCTCAAGATGACTTCAAGACGACCCCAACACGGCAATAATACTGCAACTTATGAGCCCCATCTTACTTCGAGCCGATCCCAGCATGGTGGGATCCGTGAACGGCCCGGGATTTTGGTCTACCCCATTTTTAATGGGTGGGATTTTGATCGTCCTGAATTAAACTTATAATATTAAAGCGGAATAAGCCAGGCGGGATCCCGCCCGGCCCACGGAGGAGACAACATTGCTAGGCTTCTACGGGGGTAGGGGGTTCGGAAGGGGCGTCGTTTACTTCCGCTGACATTGGCAAGCCTTCCGGCGGCCTTCCCCCGTCTTCCGCCTCGTTTCACTTCCGTCGACTTCCGCCAGCCAGGGTCGTGATGAAAATTCCAGGAACTTTCATTGGGCCGATGTATATATATATATATATATATATATATATATATATGTGCACATATATATATACAAGACTGCATTGGCGCTGCGCGCCATGCACATTGGTCCTTTGAGTTCTGCACGCAGGCGGAATGCGTGCGTGCGTACATGCGCGCATGCAGGTATGCATGCGCACGTGCATGCACGTTCCGTATAAAGGTCTAGGTGTGTACAATATAGTTACATTGTTGTATGTGTGTATACAGCGTGCATATGTTCATGTAAAATCATGTGTGTAAGGCTATGAACAAGCATATGCAACTCGTACGGGGCATCGTCGGGCATCTTCGCTGCATGCCACGAGACCCTCAACGACTGGGTCACAATTTGAAATGTCATGGGAGCAAAATCAATGAATGTTGGCATTCGGAAACATCGTGGGGGTGTTTTCGGTGCCTTCGTGGGCCGTTTTGGCGCCTTCATGGGCCGTCCTGGGGCCTCCTTGGGCCGTCTTGGGGAGCTTGGGCCCGCTGGAGCCCCCTTTGGACCCATCTTGGGCACTTCCGGGGACCTCCCATGGCCCTTTTGGGTCTGTGCTGGGAGCCCTTGGGGGGCCTCTTGTTTCCATTATGGGCTGTCTTGGGGCTCTCGTGGGCGATCGTGAGGCCTGGCTCGGCCGTCCTGAAGCTTTCTTGGGGGCCTTTTGGAGCGTCTTGACGGTCTCGGGGGCTTTGAAGCCGTCTTGAAATCTGATGAAGTCCGAAAGGCGAATACGCTAAAATTGTGAGTTTTACGAAGCGAATGGGACGATTTCTGTGGTTTGAAGGCCCCTTGGAAAGCTTTTTGGCGTGCCTTGTGGGTCTTTATGTTGGCATTCGGAAACATCGTGGGGGTGTTTTCGATACCCTCGTGGGCCGTTTTGGCGCCTTCATGGGCCGTCCTGGGGCCTTCTCGGGGAGCTTGGGCCCGCTGGAGCCCCCTTTGGACCCATCTTGGGCACTTCCGGGGACCTCCCATGGCCCTTTTGGGTTTGTGCTGGGAGCCCTTGGGGGGCCTCTTGGTTCCATTATGGGCTGTCTTGGGGCTCTCGTGGGCGATCGTGAGGCCTGGCTCGGCCGTCCTGAAGCTTTCTTGGGGGCCTTTTGGAGCGTCTTGAGGCGGTCTCGGGGGCTTTGAAACCGTCTTGGAGCTGATGAAATCCGAAAGACGAATACGCTAAAATTAGAAGTTGTACGAAGCGAATGCGACGATTTCTGTGTTTTGAAGGCCCCTTGGAAAGCTTCTTGGGGTGCCTTGGGGGTCTTTTGGGCCGTCCTGACGCAATTGGAGTCCCTCTTGGGGCGCTCTTGTGCTGTATGGGGCCTCCCTTGAGCCTTTCTGATGACCCCTCGGATCGCTCTGGGTCTACTGGCAAGGCGTTTGTGGAGACCCGGAAGGCCGGGTGACCTTTTCCATGGACGTCCAAGGGAGCCCGAGAACCCCAGATCCCGGGAGTCCAGTTTTTTTGGGGGGGGTGATGGGTTTTCCCCCCCCCCCCCCCGGGGCTTGTAAAAATATAGGAAGAGGAATCTATATTATGTGGTTAGGTGGTTCTCCAGCGCGCGGCCCTTCCATTGCCGAGCACGCAGCGCTTCTCCGCATGTGCGCCATCAGTTCCCACTCTTCGTGGTATCAGCTTTCGGAGGTCCGCGCGGATGTCTTGGATCCGCGCTGGACCCCCCCCCCTCACTGGAGCGCGGTGCGCGCCAGGGGCGGCGCCGGAGGCGCCGCCAGGATGGGCCAGCGCCGACCGGAGAAATCCTCGCAGACCTCCGAAAGCTTTTATGCTTGTGGCGTCTCCCCTCCCTCGGCGGCGAGCGCAGGGGGAGTGAGAAAGGGCGGGCCTTCTCAGGAGGCTCGGGAGTCCACCCGGCCTTCTGAGAAGTTCTTGCGCCTGCCCGAAGGCGCAGAAATCTTCCCAGACGGCCAGAGGGCGTCCGAGAAGCCCCGCCGCCTTTGCGAAGGCCTTCTCCGTCTCACGTCCAGCCTTCACTCGCCGCTGGCCCCCTCTCAGAGCAGCCACCGTATCGCACCCGCCGAAGAAGCACCCCCCCCCCCTGGGGCGGCCTCAGCGTTCGGGGCGGCCTCTTCTCGCGCCAGCAACCCTCGACCTGCACTTTCCGCACTTGTCTGCGCGGCAGGTGCCGTGCTGCCGCGGCCGCCGCAGCGGCGGCCGCAGTCGTGGCCGCGTAAGGTGCGCAAGGTGTAGGTCGAGGGGTAGCCCAAGTCTCCGACGATGCGTGTTCCCTCCATCCGGCCGCATGGGGACGGCTCCCCTGGCCCCCGGAACCATGGAGAATGGAACCAGGACGACAAGCCGCCCCTTGGGAGGTGGTCGGGAGCTCTGGGGCTGACGGTGCGGAAGGTCGAGGCCACGACACGGACGAAGAAAGTGTTAACTTAGGCTCGGTTTTGGGAAGCCTGAGTCATTTTTGAACATTCGTTACAACTCGTGCTCTCATGTCAGATACCAAGTCATGCCGCGCTCACTATATGATCCTCAGCTTCCTGGCTGCTGTTTTGTACTATTGGAACACTTGGGGGCCCCCACGGGGTCGGCAAAGTGCTCGGTGCGCAGCAGCGGCAGCAGAGCTTTGGGAGCGAAGACGGCTGCGCGTCGCGCTTCGCTGCCTCGTCTGGGGCGCTGCCCCCGCCCAGCGGGGAGGAGCCGTGCCTCGCGCCCCGCGCGGTGCGGGGCGCGCAGTGGGTTGACCCTGCCTCGCCCCCTCTCGGGGGCTGGGCTTAAGGCGGGCATGTCCCTCTACAGTTGTGGACGGCGATCAATGGAGCGGGAGCCTGTTGCCAAATAACTTCCATATGCCAAAAAACACGTTTTAAACAAGTAAACAACATGTTTAAACAACAGCAAATATGACATCTTAGGCCCATGATACATTCAATGATAGGAGTCAGGTTGTCCAGTGTCATGGCATCCACACGTCTACAGGAGGAACATCCGAACATGGGAAGAAAATGGGCTGGCCACCCCCACGGGGTCGGCGGAGTGCTCGGTATGTGGCCGCTGCCCCACCCGCCTGCTGCCGTCCCTGCCCAGCGATCCTCTACGCGCACCCGCTGGCGATCCGCGGGAGGGGGCGCCGGAGCCGCACGGCGCGGAGTGGGGCGACGCGAAGGAGAGCAGAGGAGGGGGAGGAGGAGGAGGAGGAGGAGGAGGAGGAGGAGGGAGGAGGAGGAGGAGGAGGAGGAGGAGGAGGAGGAGGAGGAGGAGGAGGAGGAGGAGGAGAGGAGGAGGAGAGGAGAGGAGGAGGAGGAGGGGAGGAGGAGGAGGAGGGGAGGAGAGGAGGAGGAGGAGGAGGAGGAGGAGGGAGGAGGAGGGAGGAGGAGGAGGAGGAGGAGGAGGACACGCGACTCGAATAACTCCGCCGAGGAAACGAGGCAGCCGCGACATATTAGAGGAAAACGCGGCTATCCCGAAGCCGCGTGGGTGTCACCACTTAGGGGGATCCCCGTGCGCGGGTGACACTTGGCCCTGAGATTTCTTAGGGCTGTGGAACGAAGCCTACTGGTCTCCCAGGTAACGGGGCCATCGCAGTGGGCCATCAACACTGGGGACTGGCGGGTGGATGCTGATCCCCCGCAGTTCAGACAGTAGACAAATGGGCCTTCGGTGACCAAATGGTGTCCCCGAATAAGCTGGAAAGAAGGCTCAGGGATACTAGACACAGTATCGGGCCTACTCGAAGCCGCGCTAGACACAGCGGGCCCCCCCACCTCAGCAGCCCTGTTGCCTGCGACCGTCCACAGCTGATCGCCAAACGTGGCTCCCAGGACACGATCCGCCGCCGCGAGGGCGATCGAGATGGCCTCCTCGCGGGCTGCCGGCAGTGGTGCAGCAGAAGGAGCAGAGGCGGCAGAGTAGGGGAGGCGTGCGCGAGCGCGCGCCATCATTCTCTGCAGGGCCGTGGGCGCACACTCTGCTCGCTCCAGTCGCCTCCACCCTGTCTCGGAGCTCGCCGAGGCCAGACAATGGCCACATTGCCAGCTCGACCCGCGCCGAACCAGCTGGTGGCGTTGCTGTACGAGCTGTACAGGTGCAGGAGGGGCTGCCACTCGGGTCCTTTTTGGGATGGCCTCGTGAATGTCATCCATGGTCGAGCCGACCGCCGCCATCAGCCACGCCAGAAGCTTGGCCTGCTCCTTGGCGCCCGACATCTTGGCGCGGAAGACGTCGTGGATGGTCCGGGGCAGCACGCGCAGCTGGGCCCCGACCTTCGCGAAGAAGTCGGCCCACGCATTGCCGTAGAAGTCGCCAATGTGGTGCCTGCCGGCACTCTGCAGGAAGAAGTCCACATCTTGGTGCGCTGGGCACCATGTCGCTCCAGGTCGCGGGAGGCCGTCCATCTGCTCGAAAACACGGCGCCAGATGTCTGCATACTGGCCCCGTGCACTGGCCAGCTCAGCTCAGGGTCCCAGCTCTCGATCTCGGCGGCCAGGGCCGACAAGTCAGTGACAGCATGGGAGACGTACGGCATGAGGCGCAGCATCTGCAGGAAAGCCCAGCGCTCCGCACGGCCGACGGCCTGGCGCCGTCCAGGCAGCGCGCCAAACACCGCCCTGACGGGCATGTTGTGGTCGTTCAGCTGCACCGCGGCCCATCCGCAGCGGCAAAGCTCAGGCCACGCAGTGTCGAAGCCCGACCCGTCGTGGTAGGCGATCGTGCTGCGTGAGTTGAGCGGCGACTCCCAATCGCCCCAGAAGTGCACCTCGGCCTCCAGCGCTGCCGGCCTGACCGGCTGCGGGAGGAGCGGCAGGCCGACCACCAACTCGAAGCGGTCGTAGTCCTGGTGGGCGATGCCGACCCCAGCGCCATCCTTGATCCTGTCGCGTAGCTTGAGAAGCTTCTCAGGCAGCTCCTCCAGCTTCCCTCCGTCCCCATCGTCACCTCGCGTCAAGATGTGCGGGCACTCATAAAACTGATGCCCCTTGGTGCACGGCACATCGCCTGGGCAGAAAGGGCAGGCCCCCGACGCGAGGTAGCCCATGGCGTGCCTCGTGACCAGGTCCCAGGAGGCCCGGGCCCACAGCTTGCGCAGCTGCCCAGCCCGCGCGCCCTTCACCGCGGCCTTGGGCGGAGCCAAGACCCTGCGCATAGCGCGGTGCCACACCACAGCGTCGGCCGGCACCGCCTCATGGTGGCTGAGAATCTGCCGACCCTGCCATCGAGCGATACCCGCTCGAAGGAGGTGGGCCACGTCCTTGGGCGGTGTCTGCAGCAGCTGCAGAATCTCGCCCTCGTCGGTGACCAGCAGCAAGCTGGAGTGCATCGTCCAGCCGATCCTCAGCAGGCTCATCCACGCAGCTGCCATGGGCCCGCGAAGCCCATGCCATGACGGCTTGGCCTCGAGCCACTGCGCCTCCAGCTTCTGCCAGGCGCGCTGCAGCCTCGCCAGCGGCAGGCGTTCGTCCCAGATGAAGTCGCAGTACTTCAGGACTGGGAGCAGCGTGGCATCGAAGACTGGGTCGAGGTAGGGATCCCGCTGCGAGGCGAGCTGCAGCGTGACGGAATCGGAGCCTACCCCGCCACGGCCACTGCAGAGCATGGCCGCTGCGGAGCGGAGCTTCGCCAGGTGCTCGTCGGTGACCCCGCCCACCGCGGCTCCATGGGCAGCGGATGGCAGGAGCCTTGTGCGCCACAGGGCCTGAATGCGCAGCCCCGCCGTCCTCTGGAGCGCCGCCACCTTTGGCCCACGCGCCTTCAGCGCATCCAGCCTGGCCTTGGTGATCGTGCGCCGCACTCCACGGCCATGGGTATCGTGCCCAAGGTTGCGCGTCCCAGCGCGCTCCTGGAGGCGCAGCTGGTGCGCCGCGGGGGCAAAGGCCCGCTGCGCCTCCTTGGTGGTGACGAGCCAGCCCGACTTGCTGGACTTGACCTCCATCCCCAGCGGCTCCACGTCGGCGATGCAGCCCGCGACGGCCCGGTGGAGGGTGCACCGGCCAGCCCCGATCTGCTCGCCGGTCCACTGGAGCGTGAGGTCGTCCATCAGGCCCCTCGGCGTGAGATCCTCCGCGATCCTCCGCAGGCGCGTGACCACCCTGTAGAGCAGCACAGTCAGCAGCCCCGCGCTGTGCGTGCAACCAGCCAGGATGCTCTGGTGCGCGCACACCTCGCGGCTCCAGGAGCCGTATGCGCGAACGACCCTCGGCATGCGGAAGTAGCTGATGAGCTGCCAGCACAACCGCATGGGGTATCGCAGCCTCCGCGCCTCCTCCAGCAGCGGGCCCAGCAGGACGCTGTCGAAGGCTTTGTACAAGTCCAATATAATCGTGATGCTGGATTCGCCGAGAAGGTGGGCGATCTCGGCCGTGATGTTGTGGCCGCACGCCGAATCCACCGACGAGTAGCCCCGCCGGAGGCCGAGGATGCAGTCGTGAGGATGCTGCTTCACCCACTCCCTCGACAACGGCCTCCGCGCCCTGGCAAAGACGCGGATCAGCGTGGAGACGAGCGCTATGAGGCGCGTGCCCCCATCTGGCTTCGGCAACCGAACCATGACATTGACGATGCGCTGGGATGGCCATGATAGCAGGGCCTCGCACTGCATGAAGAGCAGGGCGAGCGTGGCGAAGGCGGCGTCCGAAGCGAACCACATCGCCCTGGGATGCATGTGGCCCTGGCCCACCGCTGTCTTCCAACTGAAGGTCTGCGTAGCCGCGCGCAGCTGCGGCCCGTCGAGCGGCGGCAGCTGCGCCCAGCTCGATGCATCGCCAGGCAGCGGCAGCCAGTCGGCGCCGTGGGCGCACCACAGTTCCTCCCACTGGTCCACGGCCTTGTCGGCCAGCAGGTAGGGGTCCGCCTGCCCAGTTTGGCTCAACACCTCGAGGCGTTCCTGGAGCCTGGTGGCCCGATGGGCGCAGCCTGCACCGTTCTTGAACGCATCGTCGACCCAGCCACGCCATCTTGCGGCCACCACCGCCTTGTGCTTCGCCTGGAGGTCTTTGTGCGTCATGACAAGGTCCGCCATGCGCTGGTCGAAGGAGGGGATGATGAGCACCTCCAGGCCAAGCGCGAACAGCTGCTGGACCTCGGCTGGGACCTGCTCCCAGATATGGCGCGCCTTGTGGATGCGGCCAAAGAAAGCCAACAGGGCCACCACGTTCTTCGCCACCCCTGGCAGGCGAGGCCCAGGGTCGTGCACGCACAGCGTGATGAGCTTCACGAGCTGCGCTCTCGCTCTCATCAAGTGCTTGGCCCACCTCGCGATCGACGTCCAAGCCAGGAGCTGGTCCGATGGCCTGAGTCTGCGCTGGGCAGGCCGCCACTGGACGCGGACCCACTTGGTGGTGGGCTGCCCAGCTCTGCCTTCGTAGCGCTCACGCTGGCGAGAGTCCATGATGTCCCAGCGGTCGAGGAGCTCAGCCCCGAGGAGCTGCAGGGTCTGATCCCAGCAGGCCTGCAGGTCACCATCCGTCACGGCACCTCCAATGGTCTCCTGGAGGCGGGCCCATCCCCGCGTGAGAGGCGGCCGAGCACAGCCTGCCTTCAGCACAGGCAGCGCAGCCGGCTCCACTGGGACCCGCTGCCACAGGCTACGGTCGGTAGCCAGCAACGGCAAGTGAACAGCAGCTTGGACGGGAAGCGGAGTCGCCTCGTCGACCTCCGGGGCCGCTATCCTGGGCAGGAGGTTGCTGCAGCACACCGCAAAGTCGATCACCCTGCCAGGTAAGGACTTCTTGCACGTCGGCACGTCGGGCTCCACGATGATACCGCTGACCGTGCTTATCCACCGCTGGTCGAGCTCCGCCACCGTCATATTCCAATCGCCCATGATGACCCAGTCGTAGCCGCACGCCTGGAGGATGGCCACGTAGGCGGCCAGGGTGTGGAGCAGCTGGGTGTTGGTGGCGTCCATGCCGACGGCCGTGTGGAAGTACACGGATACGAGCACCACGCCACCGGGAGGGCCCCAATGGATGTGCCCAGCAGCAATGCGGCCCCGCGCCACGGCCCCCACATGACCGTCAATCCAACCATCCCTGGGCGCAGGCGGCGCCGAGATCGCCACATGCTGGGGCGCGAGGACCGCCGTGCCACCTGACGTGCCGCCTTGCCCCGTCGGGTAGGCTGGGGCGAACAGGCCGTGGTAGCCGAGGTCCAGAAGGTCGCGCTCCAGTTGAGC